CTGGCTCTGACGATGTGCGTCACAGGATGGATGAAAGCTCAGCACGGAGTCATCGGTCTCGCAAGACGATGATCCGAGGTCTTCTTCACACAATTCAACGGACAAATGTCCAAGGCAAACCTCCTGCCGTATCCCATGTGGCGAATATAAGAAACCATTCGGCAAGACTTTTCAAACGAAATCAAAGTTACGCCAGTATCAATGTAATAATGATATCCTTCTCTGATGTTTGCCATATGACCGACGAAAGCTTAGCACATTTTTACCGGAATCGAAGGAAATTGCCTCAGAAACAATGTCGACAAGAATGTTCCGATCGACAACTGGCCGATAGGAATCCGCCGTTGTCTTATCTTTTGATCGAAAATGGAAATGAGTTCAACTATTATTATTCAGGATATTTCTAGAATGCCAACTTTTCTTCGCAGGCAATTTCTTTTGGTTTCGAGGCTAGGTTAGAGAGAATCTATTTAAGCGAAAGTTTCACTGATCTTGGCATGATGCAGGAAAATTTGCGAAGCACGAAGGATCGATATACAGAAAACTGGCTCAAGTTAGAGACTGCGTATCAGATGACACCCGGGTCCCGAGGAAGCCAGTTTCAGACTGGGCCACAGCCCAAGCACCGCGTCTGGGGAAATTCCTCACACTTAATCGAAGATATGAAGACCAAGATCGTGTGGCCCCCGGTATGGTCGCAGTCTCATTTCGATTTATAGAAGTGTGTTGACCTCGTTGTCGCAACAACCTATTTTACATTCAACGGGAACATCTATGAATAAATATTTGGACTTCCCATGGGATCGCCGCTCTCACCACTTTTAGCGAACGTATACATGAACAAAATAGAAGAGAACTTTAAGATGGCACCACTACAACCGGCAGTGCTCATGCGGTACCTGGATGATTATTTTGCACTTTGGTCACATGAGAGAAAAGCTGGAATAGTTTCTGAAATTTTTAACCATTTCGATGAAAGAATTCAATTCACGATGGAAATAGAGCAAGAGGAGCGGTTACCGTCGCTGGATGTTGACGTGATTCGCTCTTATGGGACTCTCAAAAAGAAATTGTTCAGAAAAAAGTCCTATGCGGGGATAATACTCAATTTCCGGTCCCATCACAATTACAGGCTTGAGATTGGAATAATGA